AAATTTTACATACGAAGAGAAAGTTGCTTCCTTTCTTAAGTGGTGCTTTAAGAAACTTAGACATTTTAAACGCTGGTTTCACAGTGTCCTGAAATTTATAAATAGCTAAAATGGGAGGAAGAACACTGGTGCGAAAAGGAAATTTTACTCACTCCGCAAACACTTCCAACGGCTTCTTTGTTCCACGTACAACGACTTGAACACACATCTGAATCCTAAAGAGCTTATAGTAGTAATAATATCAAATGAAGAACTAAAAGTCTGGGAGAAAGTGCCTGTTCTGTTTTCTTCCTAAAAGTATCTTCATGGTTTCCAAAATTTATACTCCTAGCACGGGAAATTAAAATCCTGTAGACCCAAAGGAAGTCTAAGCAACCTGAAAACCAATGTTGCTGACTCTCTGTGAGAGGAAAAGTCACAAAAAGGTTTCCCCCCAAGGCAGGGCTGATGCCACCAGCAATCTCAGGTATTACCGGCACACTTCATGGCTGCAAGGCAACCTCACAAGCCAAGATTTGCCAAATCCAGCAAGGCCCACATCACCAGGATCCATGTTGATAAAATCATTCCCTATGAACTTTAATCAACTGCGGGGCACATTCCCCAGCTCAAATGTGACTTTTTAAAAGCCCACGAACAGAATGCCTTCAAGGATAAGAAATTAAGAAATCAATAACATCTCTTCCATATAGTTTCACCGAGCATTTTCTTCCTTCAACAGATTTCCACCTACAAACCTGCTGAACGCAATTCAGAGCAGCCACCTCCAATGTACTATTTCCCAAGGTATAAAAAAGTTTGGTTTCCTGGCAAATAGGTGAGCTTATGCATTAAGCAGACATGTCCACCTAATTCCTATAGGTACAGCAGGTCAAAAAACGTGTTGCAGAAATACTAGAATTCGCACTTCTATTGACTTTTTCTCCAGTTCCCACAGAAAGTCTTTTGGTATAGGTTTTATCATTTACACAGCAGACACATAAAATTTAAAGACAAACATGCATACACTGGGTATGCATGCCTGAAAAAGCTTAAGACGCTGTGAATACACAATTTAAAAATACGCATATTGGTGCCAACACTGGTATATTCCCCTCTCACAGTGGCTTATTCCAAATGAGACACAAAACAAGAAATTACTCCACATCCAATTACGTTAGGCAGCAAACCTGCCTTCCTCAAAGGGGTTTGAGGCTGATTTTTGAAGTGGTTTTCCCAGGGAAAGGTAGTCCCCAAGTCTAAGATGCTTCAATATCCAGAATCTTATCTGATTGGAATTCTAAAACTTATCTTCCCAAAGTTTGTGGGTGTGTTTTTTTTTTTTTGTTTTTTTTTAAGCCCAAGGAGGGGACTGGATATTGATTGTATAAACATCTGCACCCAGTTTTCTATCCAGGGGAGTCAGGAAAACCTCACACGTGGCCTGCCTAACTGGAAGCAACTTTGCCATCTTCGATTAAGATGGGCTACAATGTTTGTCTTGATTAAGATGCAAGCGTGTCACTCCCCCCCCCTCCCCATGTCATCGTCATCTCACACACACACACACACACACACACACACACACACACACACACACACACCCTATTAGGGATAGGGCCTTCCTGGAAACCGGAACATACTTAGGCCACTTTCAGCTTCCCACCATTTAGAGTCCTGACACCCAGCCTTTTACCACACGCAAGACACACACACCCTGGTCCCCCTAGGATCCTAAGTGCCAATAGCACAGCATTACAGGGCGGCTGGGGAGTGGCTGGGGCAGGAGGGCGATCCAGGCGCTCAAGTCCCACTTACCTCTCTGCCACTCTTCCCCCCTACACCACACAGGTGGGATCCCTTCAGACCCTTTCCCCCTAGGGTGCCCTTCGGGGTGAGGCGCCCCAGCCACAGGGCCAGCGGCGTCCCCAGAGCGGAGATGGGTTGGGGGCGCCAGGCTGGCGGAGGGGCGGGCCCTCAGCCCACTGCCAGGCCACCTTGGGGCCTCTCCCTGGGAACGCGACCCAGCTCCAGGCCTGGATGTCCGAGGGGCCTGCAGGCCTTCCGCCTTTTGGACTGAAGGCTTGGCCATCGAGACCTATGACTAGGAAAAACCCCAAATGATTCTTTTTTAGGAACCAAATACGTGAACACAAACAATTCTCACCATGTTGTTGGAAACCCCAACTCCTTTGCCAATCCACAGGAGCCATGGCGCTGGGGAAAGGGGGTGCTTGAGAAAAGCCTCCCACATCCGAGGGGGGACAAATGTTGGGAGGTACACCCTCCCCTAAAATTGAAGGAGAAAAGCCAGGCGGTCAACCCTCCTTCCCAAGGTCAGGTGGCCTCACTCACCATAAGGCAAGAGCACCCTGAATTATTTAATGGAGCCTGTTGTCACAGGAGGCCACTCAGCAAAGCAGCACGTTTTAAAAATCAAGGGAAGATTGTGCATACAGTCACAAATACCTGGGGGGTTTGTGTGTTCAGTCCGTCACAATCAGATAGGGGACAGCCATCCCCCGTGCTTTGCCAATCAAAAGCATGACTTTTCAATGGAACAATTTTTTAAAAACTGTTAACCCATCACTTCCTTAGAAGGAAAGGAAGAATTTAGGCCGCGGGCGAGCTGGGGTTGCGGGGGAGGCTTTATATGAACATGGGATCTGTCACTTCACAGCACTGGTTTGCCATCTTTAAAACTCAAATTTTCTAGCATCTAAACCCAGAAAGAAAAAAAAAAAGGTCTAAAAATGAATTCCAATTTTTTTGTAATGGAAAAGTGGAAGGTAGATGTTGCTTAAAACGGAAACGTTTCATGCTTTTAAAGGACCTTTTAGCTGAACAATGCAGTATCTTAACACTTTTGCCAAACATTTTTAACCTAGTGTAGGCACATGATAAAAAAGTGAATTTTCAGGGCATCCAGGTACCTCCCAGGGTGAGAGAGGAACGACCCTACACCCTCCCATCCATCCCATCTGAATGGTTTTATAATTTTAAAGTGCATAAACCTTTTACAAGTCTGGTGGCACTGAGCATCCACTGTGTTAGTCCAAATAAATCGTAGGTGGATCTTTAACGGGGGGTATAAATAAAACCTGACGTTTAAAAACAGGCATCCCAGGAGGAAGGGAAATACGGTGGATCCCCACATTGCCCTCTTCCCTGCACACTTTCCCCCAACCCCCATTTCACCGTAAGCTCCACACCTTTCCATTTCTGAGATCCAGATGGATATTTAGCTCAATCATTTTTCTAAAAGTGACGCCAAAGAACATACTTGGAAACATTCACCCATGAAATGTGTAGGAAACTTTAAAGGTGAGTCCATTCAAAGCTTAAAAAACAAAAGGAATCGAAGACCAGTTCCCCAGCTTCAAACCTAGAAGAATGAACCTTTACAAGCGAGGCCCCCTACAACAAGTAGATTAAAATTTCAACTTTTTCCCACTAGGAGAAGCCAGCTTAAGGACACGAGGCAACAGAGCTCCGCCTTCCTCCCCAAAAAACAGGTTAGGAGAGGAGGAAAGGCTGCGCTTTGCAAGCCTTTGCCGGCTCGGAACCAGCACACCCACTCCAACGCGCAAGGCAGCAAACTCCCACTAGGATTTCTGAGCCTTGGCTGTCTCCTGCTCTGCGTCCAAAGCAAAGACTGGAGCAAGTACACAAGTTACCGACCAGCTTCACGGAGCCTGCCGCTCACAGCTTTCGACTGGCCCTTTGCTCTAAGGGTTCAGGGGAGTGGAAGGTGTCACCCTAAGGCTTTTAACAGCCCAAACACAGAAACCAAGCCCCAAAGACTGCAGTGGCAGCCCTCGGACTTGTCGAACCCTGTTTCTAGCCTCGTGCAACTGGGTCGTTCCCCCCACCCCACCCCACCCAAAGAGAAGTCGAGCCCCCTCAACCCGGTTCCAGTAAGGATCAAAGCTGGAGCAGCCTTGCTGGAGCGGCCCAGGGGACTTCCAGCTGGGAGAGGCAATGGGAACAGTTCCCCAGTTCAGCTTTTTCCTGGCGCAAACCTGGGCCCATGACCAAAGGGCATGAGGAGGGCAGGGGTTCAGTCACCAGTACACGTTTTTTGTTTTTTGTTTTTTCCAGTGCGGGGAAAACAATCCAAAAGAGAAGCGCTTTTAGACCGGGGTCTCCCTTGGTCCTCCAAGACCCAGATGCTCTCAGAAACAACACCAGGAGAGGACTGCTACCGCGTCCCAACAAAAAAAATAGAGTCCTCCTCCCCCAGAAACGCGCACGTGGAAACCAGGACTACTACACAGGCGCACTCCAAGGCTCCCCCACCACACAGCCATCTCTCTCTCCCTGGCTCGTGCGCCCTCGTGAAAAGCAACCACCTATGCATTTCACGAAAAAGGAGGAAAAAAATAAGCTAAGAAGGTAAAGAGAGCCCTCAGCACGCTGGGAGGCCTCCAGCAGAGTGCCCGCACAAGGAAACCACATCTCCCCGGACACACACACACACACACACACACACACACACACAGCACATGCGCTCCCACCCCGTCTTACTTAAAACAATAGCGTGCGCGCCTTGCCCAACCAATAAGGAAATCAAATCCTTATATAAAAAGGGGGAGAGAGGGGGAGGTCCTCGGGAACCCCTCGCGCTTAGGAAAACCAGGTCTACCGCTGACACACACCTCTCTCTTTTCCCTGGCTCCTGCCTCGCTAAGAGAAAAAACGGTTGCCACGTTTTGCCATACGGAAAATTAAGATGAGGGAAAGGGGTATCACTCCACGTTTGGGAAACACATACACACACACACACAGCCCTACTAACTATGTTGCCAGGACCGCCATGTAGGTAGCCAAAGGGGAAACAAGACATCTCGAAAGAAGACACCCCACCACCACCACCACCAGCCAAACGCGCACCGCTTTGGGACTGTCCCGCGGCCCTTGGCGAGGCCTCCCGGGTGGAAACCCACACGCGCGCGCGTCCCCCAAACACCCCCTCCCCCCCGAGGGGGAGCCCCCTCGGAATTCGCCCCGCTCGCACTCACCTCGTCGTCGTGGTGCTGGCAGTAGCCGAGGCGCTCGGGGAAGACGGAGATGATGGAGAAGGGCGGGCCGGCGAAGGGCGCGCCGAGCCCGAGCTGCTGCGCGGCGGCGGCGGCGGCAGCGGCGGCGGCAGCGGCGGCCGCGGCGGCGGCGGGCCCCGGGCCGCGCTCGATGTAGTGGTCCTTGGTGAGGCGCACGCGCTGGTGCGCGCGGACGCAGTTGTCGCACAGGTGCTCCTGGCAGTCGAGGCAGCGCGACGAGGCGGCATTGCCCTCGTCGCAGGAGCTGCAGCCGTGGGGCCGGCGCAGCAGCAGCGCCGACGGAGAAGCGGCGGCAGCGGCGGCGGCGGCGGCGGCGGCGGGTCCCCCCGGCGCGGAGCAGCGGGCGGGCGCGGGCGGCGGCGGCGGCGGCGGCGCCTGCGGGAGCGGCGGTGCCGAGGCGGGCGCGGCGCGCGGGTGCGCGTGGTGCGCGCGGTGCTGCCGGTGGTTGCTGTGGCCTCCCGCGCCCGCCGCGGTGCCGGCGCGCCCGTTCTTGGGCGGCGGCGGCGGCGGCGGGTCGTCGGCCGTGGCCACCACGGCGTCGAGCAGGTTGCTGAGCAGGAAGGCGGACGAGGGCAGCGCGTCCATGCCCGCCGCCTCGGCCAGCACGACTTTCTGGTCGCACACGGGGCACAGCAGTTTGAGGGAGTCTCCCGGCGCGCCGCCGCCGGCCGCAGGCAGCCGGTGCGCCTCGAGGCACGGGCGGCAGAAGGCGTGCAGGCAGGGCAGGACGTGCAGGCGGCGCGCCGCCGCCCCGGGGGCCCCGCCGCCGCCGCCGCCGCCGCCGCCCCCCGACGACGACGACGTGGACGTCTGCGAGGACGACGACGACGCGGACGAGTTGGAGGAGGAGAGCGGCGCCGGCGAGGAGCTGCCGCACATCTCCTTGCACAGCAGGCAGATCTGGAAGTCGGTCTCGGGGAACGAAGCCATTTGCAAAAACCAGGCCCCGGAGGAGGAGGGAGGAGACCAGAGAGAGGAAGAGGAGGAGAGCGCGCCGACGAGGTGGTGGGTGGGGAGCCGCCGACTCACTCAGAAAAACGCATCGATTAGGTCTGCAATCCGGGAGCCCGCCGCACCCGAGCGGCGCGCGCGCGCGCGGCCCTCTCGGCCTCGCCGCGTCCGGCCCCGCCGCGCGCTGCCACTGCCGACGCCGCGGGCATGAAACGCCGCTCGCTCTCCGGAGGCCGCACCGGTTCCCCCCGGAGGACGTGGGGGCCGCGCGCCTCCCAGAGCGCGAGCGGGAGGAGCGCCGGAACAAGTCCCGACTCGCGAGGGGAGAGCGAGCGGGGGCAGGGAGGTCAGAGGACGGACTCCCTGGAGCCGCAGGAGCCGGAGCGTTCTCGCTCGCGGAGAGGGAAGTCCTCCTCCAAAAAGTCAGAGTCCGCTGTGCGCCATCCCACAGTCCGGGGCGGGAGAAGAAGCCAAAAATGTTGGTCCGACGAGTTATTATTGGGTGCGTTGCTTTTTTCTCTTTAAATGAATGGAGTTGTTATAGTCTCTTCTTCTTGGGAGAGGACGGCTCCCCCCACACGAGGAAAGGCGGGAGCGGCGCGACGCCGAGCCCGTGTCGTGGTCCCCCCGCGCGATGCCGGCCGCCCCACCGCATGACGCGGCGGCCGGGGACTCCCTCCTGGGTGGCCGCGCTCGGGCTTGGTGCTCGGCCGGGCGCGGGCTCTCCCCCCTGCAGGACCCTGGTGGTCGGCCCCGCGGCAGCAGCTGCAGGTCGTAGCGGCCCGGCCGCCGCGGCCGCACGCGGGTAGCAGTACGCACGCGCGCCCCACGCGCCTCGAGTCTCCCGCGCGGCTGCCCGGCCCGGCCGCCGGCGCTTAACACGCACGCGCGCCCCACGCGGCCCGGGGCCCCTCGCGCCCCGCCTCGCCCGCCCGCCCGGCCCGGGCGCCTCCCGCGCGCGCGCGCGCTCCTTCCCCTCCGGGTTTAGCCGCGCTGCTGCAGCGCTGCGGGGCCGCAGGTCCCCGCGGGCCGCCTTGAATTATTCATCGGCAGGAAGATATTAGATGTACCCGCTGCCCCGCTCCGCGCGCGCCGTCGTGCAATGCTATCCGAGCTCCGCGCGCGCGCCCCGCGCCCCTCCTCCTCCTCCTCGCGTCCGTCCTCTCTCTCTCTGAAACCTTGGCAGCCAAGGGGGATCACATTTCCTTTGTCATCGGGCCATTTCGCCCTCGCCTCAGTCCCCCCTCTCCGATCCCGAGCCGCGGGGACGGAGCAGCCTCCTCCGGGGCGCGCTGCAGGAATCAGTGGAACCGGCGGCCACGGCCCGGCGCGGTGGTGAGCTCGGGAGCCGCGTGGCCAGCGCCGCGGGCCGGCGTCATCTTTCAGAAACGAGCCGCCGTGCAAAGGACTAAGGGGTGGCCCCGGCCGCGCTGCGCCTGCCGGGCTTTTTGCTCGCGCCGCGCGCCCTGCCCTCTCCGGGGGCTTTGCACACAACGCCCCCAATGCGGGCTGTGGGCGTGCACGCGCGTGCGAGCCCCCCCTCTTTCTCTGCTTTGCGGTCTCTTCCTCCTCCTCCACCTCCTCTTAGTTCGCTGGTTATTGGGACTGATCGGAATTCGGAATCCTTTTAATCTCCAAAGGAGCAAACTCACTTCCGCCCGAGTGCTGGGAGGGGGTTGGGGGAGGGGACACTGGGGAGGGGGTTCCTAGCAAACAGGAAACATTAGCCCTCTCTGCACGGCTCGCTTTTGTGTGCTCCCTCCCGCCCTCCAACCTCCTCCCTTCTCCAGGCCGCTGGGGAGACGAACGCCCCCAGGCTTCAGTGTGATGACCTTTGAAACCTTCTGAGCGAGGAACTGGAGAGGGACTCTTCCGTTTATTTTAAAAGAAAAAGAAAAGAAAGGAAAAAAAAGATTTCATTCGGAATCGTGGTTCTGCAGAAGCTGATATCCCTGCCCGGGAAATCTAGAGGTTTTTAAAAACCCCACCTTTTTTGTTTTTGTTTTTGGAATTATTATTTTTTAACGTTTTCTTAAAGGACTGCCTATCTGCGCTCAACCCTAAAACCATCACGCCGTGTTGTGTGTGCAGTTGGATGGAGTGGAATTAAACGGACCTGAATTCTGATCTCCGGAGGGGCCAGTTTCCTTTGAGTTTTAATGAGGGGTGTGGGGCAGAGGGCAGCTGTGCAGGGGGAGGCTGCCCGGGTGATGGCCCCTCGGCCATCTGGGTGGTGCCCCAGGCTGCCTGCCTCCTGGGCGGTTCTGGGAGAGGAACTTGCTTGGCCCTAGGAAGAGACTGACTTGGGAGAGCAGATAGGACCACATGCCAGGATTTAGAGGGTATCTGGTCTGGATGGCCAATGGGCTGAACGGTTGTGCCGGTCCAAAAACGCTGTCAAGCTGTTCGTGGCATGTTCGGTCCTACTTGGTCAGGCAATAATCTGGAGGAGTCTCAAAAAAGTATCATGTTAAGAGAAAGAAGCCAAACATAAGTGTTCATGCTATGTGATTCCATTTACAGGAAATTATAGAACAGGCAAAATTAAGTCCTAGTCCTAGTGATAAGAAAATTACCCATGGTGGTGGGAGTGTATGGATTAGGAGGGCAGGGATGAGAGAACCTCGGGGTAATCATGTATATTAGAAATATATTGGTGTCCACATCTGTCAAAACTTGTCAATCTGACATTTAAGATCTCCGCAGGTCACTGTATGTAAATTACATTTCAATAAAATGAAAGAAAAAAATAATTTAGTGTCCACTCTGAATAACCATGAATGGGTTTATAAAGATTAAAAAACAACACGTAAATATCCCGAACTTCTCTAAATTTGCTCACCAGAATTTGGGGAGTTTTACAGGGAAAGATCAACTCGGAAAGAGCCCTTAAAGCGACCCAGCTGGATAAATGTGCCGAACATCCCATAAGCCACCGTGGGCCCCTCCTGCTGTCCTGAGCCTGGCAGCCCCCCTGAGAGAGGCCAAGTCCTCAGCTGCCCTCAGGAGCGCCGTCCTCCACACCTGGAGTCACTCGGAGCTCAGTGAACATCGACTGAAATATGAAACGGAGCACAGCAGTTACTCCCAAATAAAAGCAAAAAAAAAAAACATGCCAGTGCTATCTCAATAAAACTGGAAAAACAAAACAGCTCCTTGTTTGCCCATGAAATAGAAGTAAGCGTCTCATGCTACCCTGTACTGCCTTTATGAGTTTCTTCATTTCATAGTTTGAGATCTGCGTGTAAACAAACATGCACACGGTCACACAAGACTCTTAGTCCCGGCTATAGAATTTTCTATTACACTGGCCTTGCTTCAGAGGTGTTGTGTGTATTTGGGGGTTGGTATCTTTTCTTTGATTATTTTTTAACACACACACACACACACTAAAAATTTTAAAAAAAGGAAAACAGATGGGGGAAGAGAATTGCCAGAAGGAAGATGGCCCCAGAGGGTCAGAAAAAGGATGGCCCAGACCTGCTGTCTCTCTCTTGGTTGGCCCCACCCACCAACCAACAGGTTTATTTTTAAAATGTAAAGATGAGGGGTGGAGCTGTGGGTGAAGTGGTGTTAAACTGTCCTGAAGATCCTAACTAAAATCTCTAGCGAGTGGATAGCGGATATGAGATGAGAAGTCAGCTGAGACAGCGTGGAGGGACAGGAAGGCTGTCACTCCAGAAAGAGGAATCGGACTTGACAGCGGTTGGAGGGTTAATTTCCTGGGGACAATTGCTCAGGATAAGCCGAAAAGAAAAGAAAAAAGAAAAAAAAAGAGTAGGGAGGTTGAGGGAAGAAAGGTTTTGATTTTTATCAAATATATTTCCTTTCTTAAATTGATACATGGACAGGAAACAGGGCTGTGGTAGAAGTTGTTAAATTAGCACATTCCTAATTTCCATTGGCTTAATGTACCATAGGAGAAGAGGGAACTCTTTGAAGCCAGTAATTTAATCCTAATTGCACAGAAATACAGTTAGGATTTTTTTTTTTAAATATTGTATAGTGGTAAATAACAAATTAGGATTAGACTCTAATTAGCCTTATCCATGAGAGAAACAAAACCATAGATCCAGATGAAAGGCCAGGGAGAGTCCCCTGCTATAAACTAGTATTAAAATTTTCATTGCATCCTCGCTAATAAACACCCTTTCTTAGCAAGGGAGGAGCACACAGCCTTCCCGTTTTCTCTCTGCACGTTGATGTGAGAAATGGAGTACATATCCCTCCCCAAATCCTGAACATACATCGTTTTGTATTTTAATAATAACCACCTTTTAAAAGAAACCAGCCCTGGCATTGTTATGTAGGCAGTCAATTTGCATTCTTCCTCCAATTCATCTGTAACCATATTTTGTTTCCAAAGATGACAGTAGGCCGGGACTGGTTTGGCTCAATGGATAGAGCGTAGCTTGGGGACTGAAGGGTCCCAGGTTCGATTCCGGTCAAGGGCATGTACCTTGGTTGCGGGCATATCCCCAGTAGGGGGTGTGCAAGAGGCAGCTGATGGATGACTCTCTCATCGATGTTTCTGACTATCTCTCTCCCTTCCTCTCTGTACAAAATCAATAAAATATATTTAAAAACAAACAAACAAACAAAGATGACAGTAGATCTAGGGTTGGAGATTAGACCCTATTTCCCTCAGTGACTTTGCATCTGCTTTTTTCAGCTGACCTTTAGTTAAATATCTGATGCACCTGCTTGTTTTGATGTCAACACTGCACCTCCACCATCATCCTCCAGTGTATTCATATATAATTTTTAAAGCATAACTCACCAGGTGTTTTTGAAAACATTCAACAAATATTACATCACAATTACTATTTCAAACCACGAGGATGGGTGAGTACTAACCTGATGGACAACCGTTGAGTCGTCGTTTGCGTCATCCTGCCAGTTGAGGGGGGATAGAGCTCTACACTGGGGCCAGCTCTTGACTCGGCCCTACCTCTGGTCTTGGAATCATTAACAGAAGT